CGGCCCAGTGAGGTAGCTATGGTTATCCCGGCCCAGTGAGGTAGCTATGGTTAGGGTGGTCTTACAGACTCGGGAGAACTAAGGAACCTGCCTACATTTTGCTTCTGTTACTACGTCCACTTCCACCAGCTTTCCGCCATGGCTACCACCGCCCACCTTATCACTTTCATCCATTAGCCACAGCTGGACAGTCGGCTCCTTGCTTCCTCCGGCACTTCCCAAGGTACAGAGTGGTTTGAAGCAAAGTATATCATTTCTCCCAGGCTTAATCCCTTTGAGGAACTTCCCTGGGCCTGGGGATGAAATCTAGACACATCTCCAGGTCCTGCCCACCAGACTTCCCAGTGACTGAGCCCCACCGACCTCAACAACCTCTGGACCTCTCTTCCTTTCGTGGAGTCCTTCTGCCTCCTGTGGTCTCCATGTACATTTGCTTCTTTTCTTGCTGCTGTAACAAAATACTTAAGAAAAGCAATTCGGGAAGAAGGTGCTTGTTTTAGCTCTTCATTCAAGAGTACAGTCTTTGGGGAGTCAGGGCACCCAAAACACCAGGTAGCTGGTCATATTGAATCCACAGTTAAAAAGCAGGGAGAGGCATGCTGGCATTCAGCACATTCTCCCGTTTATTCTGGTACCACCCACATTTAGGGTGGGTCGTATCATCTCAGTTAACCTAATGCAGAAGCTCCCAAACTGATATGCCCAGAGGTTTGTGTCATGTGTGACTCTGCCCTTGGATCAAGAGTCACAGTACAGCTTAGAGGAGCCTGGACCCCAACCTCATGGCGCCCTAGATTCATGCTTCTCTCTGTAGCTGTGTGACCTTGGGGGCACCTCTTTCTCTGTCTGTAAAATAAAGATAATCACAGTGCCTGCTTCCAGAGGAGGGATTCTCAACCTGTGGGTTGCAACCCTTTTGGGGGGGTCAAATGTCCTTTGCACAAGGGTCACATATTAGATATCCTGCATACCAGATATTTACAGTGTGATTCATAACTAGCAAAATTACAGTTATAAAGTAGCAAAGAAATAATAATTTTATGGTTGGGGGAATCACCACAACATGAGGAACTGTATTAAAAGGTCACAGCATTAGGAAGGTTGACAACTACGGTTCCTGAGGATCCTTTACTTCTGTAAATCAACAAAAGCAGTCTCTGGCTGAATCAGTAACAGAGTGTGTTGAGTGGTATAGCCCTTAGCTGACCAGTTCCAAGCAATCTTGCTGTTGAAATCACCCAATTGCTTTATTATGTTCGCATGAATAAGCATTTCAATAATTTCCATTGCACTCCATGAAAATATGTTTCTAGAATATTCTCCCAGATCCTTTCTGACTTTGGTAACTGCACACAGCTCGGCTGTGGTTTCAGAAGTCTTACTTTTGCTCTTGCTCCTGCAGGCAGAATGCACCCAAACTAGCATGGGGACATACAGCTGTGTGTGCCAGCGGGGCTGGACAGGGAACGGAAGAGACTGTGTGGAGATCAACAACTGCCTGTTGCCTAGCTCTGGTGGCTGCCACGACAATGCCACCTGTTTATATGTAGGCCCTGGGCAGGTGGGTAACTTGGGAAAGAAGGAAAAGAGGAAGCAGGATTGTGACTTTTTTTTTATCACAACCACAGAAGTGCTTTGGTTTGAAGTTGCCATGGCTTTGCCCTCAGTTGTGGTAGGAAGAATGGGTTGATTATCATATGAGTCTGAGACATCGGTGTCACCACCTTATAGAAGAGGAGCTGTGATACCAGAGAGGTTATCGATTTCTTCTGCGGCACAGAAAACCAATCAATCTCACTATGATTCATCAGTCAGAATTCAGATATGGCTCACTCAAACCCTCTCCCCCATGGATCACACACATCTATCTAGAACATTCTATAGATTGTTACCTAATTTTAAGTGGCTTCATGTTATGAAAAGAAGCAGAGTCTACCGCCTGCAAATTAGTGAGTTACAGAAGAAGAGACACAGAGAAACTGACTACATTAAGGTTGTGGCCATGGAAATGATAGGCCCTACTCCCTGTCTTCCATGTACCCCTCCTCCCCCAGAACAGTGTAGGCGTGCTCCATCAGGTCAAAGGAGCACAAGACCTAGAAGGTAAGAACCAGGATCTTCTCTCTCACACGCCCCTTTTGAATGATGATACAATTTCTCACACTTGTGTTCTAAAGCTGGACTGTGTTAAACCTTCAGATTATTTGGTTGAGAAATCTATGTTCCCTGTGCGGCTGGGCACAGTGTAAGGCCTAACCTTGCTTCCTGTGATGGCTTTAGGCCTTCCACCACAAGCCTTCTGCCTTAGACAACGTGTTCCATTGTGTGTACCGCCCACTTCCCTGTCCTCTCCTGAAATTAGGTTTTGAAGTACAGCCCAGGTGATGTTCCAGGTCCCTCCAGGTCAATGTCTGCTTATATAGTGCTGAGGCCTCGCTGTGCTGAGTAACTTAGGTCGTGCCCTGGTTACTTTTTGGTTGCTGTGAAGAGACACCATAACTAAGGCAACTTAGAAAAGAAAGCATTTAATTGGGGGCTTGCTTATGGTTTCAGAGGGAGAGTCCATGACCATCATGGCGGGGATGGCAGCAGGCCAGGCATGGCGCTGGAGCAGGAGCTGAGAATATGTATTTTATCTGTAGTTTGGAACCTGAGAGAGAGATTGATTCAGACAGACTGGACCTGGTGTGGGCTCTTGAAACCCCAATGCCCACCCCAGTGACACACCTTCTCCAAAAAAATCACACCTCCTCCACTAAGGCCACACCTCCTAACTCCTAATCCTTCCCCCAAAGAGTTCCAGCAACTAAGGACTAAGCATTCAGATATGAGCCTACGGGACCATTCTCATTCAGAGCACCACAGAGCACAATAGGTGCTGCTTAGGCCATGACAACCAGGGCTGGGGAAAGTATGATCACTGTTTGGATCCCTGGGAAGGCTGTTGGTTTTAACAGAACATCTGATTACCTGTGCATTCCTAGAGAATAAAGAGTAGCAGGGCCATGGACTCAAGTGTGGCTGACTATGTGCAGTGACTAACAGTCTGGAATCTGGAGCCTCTGGTCTTTAGGAGGGTTAAATGGCGATGGTTTCCAAAGTCTGCTTTTCAGTGTAATGGAGTGCAAGGCTTGAGAGCACTTGCTTCAGTGATCCCGTCTGTGTTCTTGGAATTGCAGAATGAATGTGAGTGCAAGAAAGGATTTCGAGGAAACGGGGTTGATTGTGAACCGGTCATTTCATGCTTGGAACAAACAGAGAAATGTCACCCTCTGGTGAGTTACCTGATGTTTCCCTTCAATATTAAACACATGGAAAGTTCTTAAGAAAGAACAGAAATTAAGTTATGTGGTCTCTTCCTGCCACGATCATAAAATACCTGAGCAAATGCCTCGAGGAAGAGGGTTTGTGTGACTCCTGGCTTCCACAGTTTCCACGCACGGTCAGCTGGATGCGTGGCCTCTGGACTGTGTGCCAAAGTGCCTCACCTCATGGTGGACAGGAGCGCGACCCCGTGGGCGTGGGCCCAGTGACCGATTTCTTCCAACTAGGTCCAACCTCTAAAAGTTTTGAGCCCGTCTCAGTAGCATCACTAAACTTTGAACCCGTCAATGAAATCATGTTGATGAAGTCAGAGTCTTCATGATTTGGTCGCCCCTCCCCCACCTCTGGACATCACGGAGCAAGCTTTTAACATGGTGTTCTTTGGGGAGGATACGTCTTCTCCAAACCCTAACAGCTCTTACTTGCCTGAGCCCCGCCATGAACAAAGTCTCTCACCTCCAAAGAGCTTCCCTAAGCAGAATTCAAACAGTTATTGCAATCTCCACTCTACCCCAAAGCTTAGAAGCAGCAGCTTGCGTTGCCAGAAACGATGCTAGGCAGTGGCTGGATTTGAATCTAAGATCCACAGAGAGTAAGTTTTGGGCAAAGGTTCAGTGTGCCCAAAATATTGCACAAGATGAGTTTATATGTTCATCGTCTGTCTGAATATCAAGTGTAACTCTCTTTGGAGTTAAATTTTTCTTTTGCTAAATCTGGCAGAGATGAAAAGAAAGATCTGCTGAGACTAAATGCAGCAGGCTTGAGTATCCTGCTCTAACACTGATATTTCTGGGTTGTTTCTACCACCTTTTAGTGCTAAACTTGCAGGGGTGTTTGTTGTAGTTTTTCCTGTAAAACTGAGGATGAGAACTCAGGACCAAGTGAGCTAGGCAAGTGCTCTACCACACGATTCCAGGGTCTGAATTCTGAGTTCTTATCTTAGGGCTGAGCATCTCACAGGTACGTATGAACCAGGTCTAACAACTTAGATAGGAAAGCAAGCTGTCCCTCCATCTTGGTTTTCTCAGGCCACCTGTCAGTCTACTCCGTCTGGTGTTTGGAGCTGTGTTTGCCAAGAGGGCTATGAAGGGAATGGTGTCCTGTGCTATGGAAATGTGCTCACGGTAAGTCCCTAGTGAGAATCTCAGGTGCAGAGTCACAGAGAGAACACACAGCGGGGAAATAGGTGTGTCAGCTCAGACAGCTGCAGACATGCTTCATCTGCAGACCCTTTGTCCACGAGATTTTTAAATGAAGACAGCTAGTTTTTTATAGACACTTCACGTTTGGGGGTTTCCTCATTTTCACAGGCTACAGCAGCTTTTATCTGGCACTTTCTGCACAGAGAGCAGTCCTGACAACTTTTGTTTGCCAAACTGTCTCAAACTTCCCAAGCGAACAACTGACCTCCCTCTGCTGGGCTACATGGGATAACTGCCTTAGCACCCCATTGGCTTCCATGCCTCTCATGGGTACCCAGAACGCCCTGTGTTTACACATTGTGTGTGTATGTGTGTGTGTGTGTGTGTGTGTGTGTGCGCACGCGCACAAGCACGCATATTCGTGCTCGTGGATGCACACAAACGTCTTCTGTGTACCAGGTGTTCTTTCTAGGTCCTTTATGTAGTAATATCTCATTTAAACCTCACACCAATTGTCTGGGGTTAATGCTATTATGATGCCCATTCCACAGGTCAGTAAACAGAGGCTAAGCACACTTACTTGCCTGAGATGTTGGTATCTGTCCATGTGCCAGGCCCAAGAATTAACCACCAGTAGAGAGTATTTTATCCATGCAGTACAGGTCACACCCAACTGACACTACTTCTCCATCTCACTGTCCTCCAGCACTGGACTCTAGTCTAAAGAATGAAAATCTTCACCTCCTTCCTAGGTCACTCACATTTAAACTTAATCAAAATCCTGGAGTTTGTCGCCAAATGAAATAAATAAACAGGTGGACATGATTGCACCTAGGTATGGTGGAGGAGGTTTATTGTAGATAAAAGGTTAAATACAGCCAGAGGCAGAGATATCTGGGAGAGTCCAGAGTGAACACAGCCAAACTGAGCAGGCCACGTGCAAGGAGAAAGGAAGCGAGAGCAAGAGGAGAGATAAGCCACGATCCAAGAGGGATAGCCTGAGCCACAAGACTGGCCAAAACGACCAGATTCACCAAAATGGCTGGATTATATAGAAAGAAAAGCTGAGAGAAGAGTAGCCCGGTCCCTAGGCTGGAGAGCTCAGGTTAAGGAGGCAGGGTATGCTAGCAAGGAAGACCCTGTAACAGGTAGAGGTGAAGGGATTCTGGGAGAACCTGGCTGGCCAGTGTCAACTTTGATAAGCACCACAGTTAGCAAGATTGAGACCTAAAGCTGACAATTTTTTTTTCTTATGCCTTTTGTTTTTTTCATACAGTCAGGTTCTTGTTCCCTTTCTCCTAGGAAACCTTTATCCTAGAAATCCTCTAGGACTGGCAGCTTTGTAACCAAAAGCCACTCCATTTGCTTTTCCCCAAGCTGGTGTGAGTCCGCACTACTCCAACATACACAGCCCTGCTATGTTCAAGGAGGTTCCACCCTTTGCTTTTCATTGGCACTCATTTACTGTGTTAAACCAAGAAGCTGCCCTTAGCCCTAGAGCTGGAACTCACCTGTCCGCTGTATGTGTCACAAACCCTCCAGCAGTTCCAATCCCCTGCCATGTTCCTATCCGTCCATGGAAACAAACTGAAGTTCGAGACCTCTGCCTATTGCTGTAGAGTCTTCTTCTGTAGGCCATGACAAAACCACAGTGCAAGTCCAGGCAAGTTAGTCCTGTGAGCCAGCCTGCAGCTCCATACGGGTTGTGACTGGAGGCTGCTAAGCTCTGGGTCTCTTGTTGGTACCTAGGTGGCTGTGTTTCTTACCAGCAAGCTAGACTTAACTCAGTCTAACAAGTGTGTCCAAACTGTAGCTCATAGGCCTGTGCACACCAAGATAGCTATAATTCAAAATTGTTTTATGTAAAATATTTTCAAATCTGGTGTTTTTGGGTTTTTTCCTTTGTAATTATTCTTTGTTCTGAGGTTTTCAAGTGTGAACTTTGTAGATAACATCATTTTGTAGTGTCAAATGAAGGTTGGACATCCCAACCTCTAAAGCAGCAGTTCTCAATCTATAGGTCACAACCCCTTTGGGGGTTGAATGACCCTTTAACAGGGGTCACCTAAGACCACCAAAAAGCACAGCAAAATTATAGTTATGAGATAGCAGCGAAAACAGTTTTATGGTGGAGGGTGGGTCACCTCAAAATGAGGGACTATATTAAAGGGTTGCAGTATTCGGAAGGTTGAGAACCACTGCTCTAAAGGATAGTCAGGCCCCTGGTCTGAAGGCAACCAGCAGCAGCTCTTGCTCAGAGGCAGGTTCACATCAACCTGGGAAGGCTGCTGCTGCAGATCGCATAGTTCGAGAGGGTCAGTGCAGGCTGCCCAGAACCGCACTGAGACAATGTTTCTGTGTTTTCTTTCTCCTTCGGCTCTCCTTGGAACAAATGCATAAGGAATTGTCATTTCTCTCTGAAGCGGCTGCGTTTTACCAGTGGATAAATGTGAGTCCCTGAATTTGTACTTTAGCACTGGCGATAGAAACCATTTTAGAGATCTGGAGTTTGTGCAGTAGAAAACTGGAAATGGGTCGGGAGTCGGGGAGAGGGCTAAGGGGAGTGTCCTGCACAGCAGCTCCTCACCTTGCTGGCGCTTTAGAAATTATGTGGGCACCTCACCCCTGAAGACTCCAATCTGATGAGTCAGGGGCTTGGTCTGGACACCAGAGACAGCCTATTTAGCCAAGCTAAAAACTGCTGGTCCAGGTTAAGGTGGGGCAGCTGGGTTCTAAGCAATTTAAATACACAAAAATAGCACTATCTATCACATGGTTCTTTCTTTGGAAGCTTAATGTGATTTATGTCATAATTCATTAAGATTTGGACTTATAGTTGGCATCTGGGGAGCTTCATATACTTCAGGTAACTCTGCTTTACATACTGAAAAACCTTACTCTTTACCCCTGGAGAGGATCATATTGAGTCTAACCTCACCCTGCCCCAGTGTCTGGACCTCCATCCCCTTTGACTGAATGGATCAGGGTGTCTGACCTAGCCAGATAATGTTACAAGAGTGTTTGTCCCTTTAAATAAGCATACGCTAAAATAGGTCTTGCTCAGTCAGCATTCACTCAGAGAACAGCTCCCTGTATGTTCCATAGCATTCTAGAAACCACTTGTTTCTACAGAGGAGGCTGTGTCCAACTCTCTCTCTCCCTTGAGAGAAGGCAAGAGACTGTCCCTCTCTCAGTATGTTGGCTTTCCTGTAACCACACCACACACAGTCTCTCTGCATGAGTATACCCAGCCCAGTAGTAGGCAAAACAGGCCTCATTTCCCCCCAGCCTGCTTTAAATGCTGTTGTGTTAGAAATTAACATCAGTTCCAATGGAAGTATTCACCAGAAATCAGCAAGTTCTATAAACCAAGATTTAGGGGTTTGGAGTCAGTTTTTATTTTGGATTGATTTCTTTTTTCACCTAACTGTTGAATGTAAAAATAGCCTTTTTAGGCATGCAGGAGACATTGTTGAGTTTGCTCCAGGTTTTCATTCTCTGCAACTTCCTCAGTCTTACTCTGAAGACATCGAAGAATTAGCACAGTCCTTTGTGTGCATGGACATGCGCACATAACACACATATACACCCAGCAAGACTATTCATCTGGCTTTTCATTCAGACTTGCAATGACAAAGTATGGCCCAATCAGGGTAATCTGTATGGTTATAAAGATCCATACATTAAAGAGAAAAAAGACTGAGTCTCAAAAGAGAATGTAAGTCATCAGACAATGGCCAGGTGGACTTGGAAGGGAAAGCCTACTGTCTTCTCAGCATTCCTGGAGCTGCATCACATGGGAAGCCATCATCTCTGACAGCATATGTCAGCCCGCTCGTCCCTAACAGTACTCCAGCCACTTTCTTTTCTCTGTGATTCAGAATGCTTCCCTGCAGTCTATGCTGGCTGCCACCTCCAATCTCACTGTCCTTGTGCCATCCCAGCAAGCCATTGAGAACATGGACCAGACTGAGAAAAGCTTCTGGTTGTCACGGAACAATATTCCAGCCTTGATAAAGTGGGTGTCATTTACCTTATTTTCCATGTTATATGGCTGCCATCCAGGGTGACCATTCCTTAGTTCAGTATAAAGAAGCCACATGATCCTTCACTTCCTAGGATGTTCCTAGAAACCCTCCCCTGGGTCAGGAAAAGTTATCTGTTAACAACTGACTCTAGATCAGTGGTTCTCAACCTTCCTAATGCTGTGACCCTTTAATACAGTTCCTCATGTTTCTGCTACATGTGGTGACCCCCTACCATAAAATTATTTTTGTTGCTACTTTATAACTGTAGTTGTGCTACTGTTATGAATAGTAATATAAATATCTGATATGTAGGATATCTGATGTTACTCTACCCAAAGGAGTTGTGACCCACAAGCTGAGAACCACTGCTAAACCAAGCAATGTGCTTTGAATATCATTCAGTTAACCCTCCCAATACCTCTAAGATGGGTGTTACAATTATTCCCATTTGACAGATATGGGAAGTGAGGCAGAGTGGTTAATGGCTAATTGCAGCTAAGGCTGACCTCTGCAAGGGCGAATATAACGTTTGAGTATGGGAGAATGAAGTCTGAATATGGTAATCAGGCCCCAGAGCTTCCTCTTCTGTTTAGAGGTACAAACGTGTGCATGGACATTGTGACCCTTATGACCTGTTCTTTAGATACCACATACTACGAGGCACATACGGAGTGGCTGATCTGCAGACCCTGTCATCCTCTCACATGCTAGCGACGTCCCTTCAGGGAAGCTTCCTTCACCTGGACAAGGCAGATGGGGTAAGAACTCTATCATCCAGACGTTTAGAGAATGATACATTTACTCATGTCATCCTTCCTGATTTTTAGTGATGGAAATTTTCAGATATGTACATAGAGAGAGCAGAAGCCTGTGTGAGCATCGTCCAGTTGCAACAATGATTGCACATGTACACACTTTAAAAAAAAGAGGAAAAACCAGAAAACTAGGCTACAGCTGTATATTCATTAATTTTCTCATTGCTGTAATCGAATATTGGACAATAGCAACTTAAGGGTTGATTTTGGCTCACAGTTTGAAGGTACAGACTATCACTGAGAGGAAGTCATGATGGCCAGAGCTGACGGCAGATGGTCACACTGTCTACAGTCAGGAGAGATTAATGAGGGTTCTCAGCTAGCTTTCTAGTTCTTATGAAGTCCAAGACTCCAGCCCATGGACTGATATTTTAGGTAGGTCTTCCTATCTCAATTAACCTATTCTAAAATGTCCCTTGTAGACATGCTCTGGGGATTGTTCTATCATGATTCTAGATCCTCTCAAGTTGAAGATTAGCTATCACAAAAGGGAAAATCAGTTTTCTCCAATGCAGTGTCACTGAATCTATCAACCATACTCTAGGGCAGGCTCCATGCCCAGGAGTTGTTGAATAACACAAAAAATAATCCCATGTTGGTTTGGGGGTTTTGTTAGTTTGTTTGTTTGTTTGTTTGTTTGTTTGTTTGCAGAGGGGAACATTTTCTACCATTCTGCTTTTATGTTTGTTTCTATTTTCATTTTGTATTTTTTTTAAAGACAGAAAGAACATAAAATTAGGTGAGGAAGGAAGTGAGGAGGATCTGGGAGGAGTTGGGAAAAAGGAAAAACATGATTAAAATATATTGTATGAAAAAATTTAATAAAAAGGCAAAAAGGACTAGTTCTTGGAAGCAGTAATACAAAATGCAGACCAGCAAGCTGACATCACCCAGAAAGGAAGAAGAGTAGTCAACGCCACATCTTTCATTCATTCTAATGTATACTTAACTAAGATCCTGGTGGAGTCATCACCAGTAACTAGATGTCATATAAGTACTAAACTCCAAGCCTATAGTGAGTGCCTAGTCTGCACATGCATGCATCTTGGTGCTAGAGCCAGGGCAGTGGAAGAGTAGAGCTTCAGAGAAACTCATTCTCTGCCACTCCTGGAGTCTTGTCAAGGAGTCACATACCATTCAGTGGGAAGTGTGGCTTTGTGAGTGTGAGGGGTCAAGGGTCAAAGTGTTTTCATGAGGTAACTGAGTGAGTGAGGGTTCTATCAGGCAGCAGGGACTGCTGCAGCCATGACTCATCAGGCAGAAATGGCTCAGAACTTCCCAGCTTCCTGTCAGTCTGTAAGCACTAGGAAAAGAATCCATTGTGAGAGGCTAAACCGCAGGCTCACTGACTGATGTAGAAAGCGGAAAACTTGAATGTGTGGTTTTATGGATATTTTATAAATCTTCTTTTGTAAGTCTTTGTAAATTCCAATGACACCCATGTCATATCCTTAATTGTTTAAATAAAAATTTGACATAAAGATTTTGGGTACAATTGTTGCGTCATGCAACGTGACTTTAACTCCAGCCCTGGGAAAAGCAGAGGCAGGTGAATCTCTGTTAGTTCAAGCCCAGCCTGGTCTATATAACAAGTTACAGGCCCAGTAGAGATATGCAGTGAGACCCTGTCTCAAAAAATAAATATTCTTTAATAAAAAATAATGGTACAAAGATACAGCTAGTGAAAAAGAACACATCCTATGGAGTATTGCACAGCAGGATGTACTGCTTGCTTAACAACACTACAGTATGTAAATCAAGTAAGTGAACCACACTTGATGCTGTGAACTGTGATCCCAGCTACTCCAAAGGCTGAGGCAGGAGCATTACAAGTTCAATGCCTCTCAGGGTACAGAGTGAGGTCATAGCCAGCCTGGGCAACTTAGTGAGTCCCTGTTTTGAAATGAAAAGTAAAAAGAGGGTTGGAGATGTAGCTCAGTGGGAGAGCGTTTCATGAAGTCCTACATTTAACCTCCAGTGCTCCCAGATAAATCAATCAAACAGCTGGAGGAGAGGATTTGAATGTTCTCATCCTAGGATGATAAGAACCTAAGCATCCTAATTAGACCACTGCACAGTGTCTACAAGGTATACTAACACAATAGGTAGGTGTCGTTGTTAATTTTCTTTTTAATTTACAGCAGTATTTTGTGTATACTCTATAGTGTGATTACTGCAAGCAGGCTAATTCATTGGTGTTTCAAACCGTCAATTTTCTTAGCTACATTAACATCCACCCTGGCATGTCACAGGCTATACTGGTCTCAAAATGGATCAATCAAGGCCTTGACCTAAAGAAGATAGCCATCAAATGCATTTTCTTAATTTCATTCCTGTGTCTAATACAATGAAAAACATCCCGTTTTAATAAAAAAAAAAAAAGATATGAGAGATGGGCTAGTGTGTTTCCACAGCCTCTCTACATGGAACGTCCACGCTCACAGGCAAGTGTCCTGCTCCCTAAGATCCAGGAGGAATTGCAAACAGAGGTCCCAGTGGGGAAAAAAGAAGAAACCAAAAAGACTGGAGCTCAATTGCTCTTGACTGGTAAACTGGCACTGTCTATATCAGTGTGCTATGATCCTTGTTTTAACAAAAACTTACCACAGACTAGGGGGTCTCTAACATCAGTTGGTATCCTCATAGTTCTGAAGGCTTCTAGAAGTTCAAGACCAAAATGTAGGCAAAAGTTGGTTCCCTGTGAGGGTAGCTAAGGAAGGAGATGCCCTAGGCTACCTCCTTGGCTTATTGATGTCCATGTTACTGATCTAATAGAACCTTCTCTCTTCAGTGCTTTGTGTGTATTCCCCATACTTTTTAGTCAGCTAAAAGAAAGTGGAGTAGACCTGACAATCAGAGTACATCCCTCATGTAAAAGAACGCCATCTTTTTATTTGTGTGTGTGTGTATATGTATGTCTATCTATTTGTGATATCTAACGTATCACAATTTAAAGGATTTCATGGCCCAAAACTGTGGCTACTGCTGCTCAAAAAGTAGAAACTGGAGAGGTAACGCAACCCTCAAGTATGCTCACCTTCCCACTGTGTTTGCACTTGCAGAATATCACAATTGAAGGGGCATCCATTGTGGACGGTGACAATGCAGCCACAAATGGGGTGGTCCATATCATCAACAAGGTAAAGATGCCCCTACCCAATAGGCAGAGCCGTTTCCCCTCTGTCTTCCTATACAGTGCTGTTTGGGCAAGTAAAGCATACTTATCCTTAGTATTAAAGGAGCTTCTTGTTTGATGTGCTTCTGTTTTTTCTAGAACCTCATGGAGGCTCTCTTCATTCAATCAGACTTTGCTATAACTCACTCTATCTGTATTTGCAGCAGAGCTTCTGCCATATGTGGCCCCACATATTCTCTCTTGTATATGCAAACAAAGATCTCTGCATATAAGAAAGAGGCACAAGTCTAAAATCAAGGGCAAAGGGAAAAGCAATTTGTTATCACTATTCACTTCCCTCCCTGATACCGAATCCTAAAAGGGGAAGGAGGGATGGGAGGGACAGAAAAGCCTAAGAGAAAAAAATAGGAAAGCACAAAAAAACTATTGTAAGATTTTCATTTTTTACATAGGTCCCAATTCACTAGTATTCATAGGTATAAAAAAAAGAATAAAAAATGAGAAATGAGGGGCTGAAAAGATGACTCAGTGGTTAAAATACACTGACTGTTCTTCTAGAGGTCCCAGCAACCACATGGTGGCTCACAACCATTCATAATGGAATCCAGTGCCCTCTTCTGGTGTGTCTGAAGACAGCAACAGTGTACTCACATAAAATAAATAAATAATGTTTTTAATTTTAAAAAATTGGGAAATGGGTTCATAAGCTAACCCATAATTTCCAATTATTAGATTAGGATCTTTATTTTAACAGAAATATTTAGTACACTAGAAATGTTCAGAAGGTAGAAGGCTAGGGGAACAATTAATAAATTGCATTTTAATTAAAATTGTTCTCATTTAGCATTTATATATTCAATTTTCAAAACCCTTAATTCAACTATTTCTGTTCAAAAGAGAGACTATTTGTAAGACTTCATGTTTTTCAAAGCCCTTGCAATTCTTCTGCATTATCCAGAGGCTTTAAACACAACATTTTTAAGCAAGACATGATTCCAAATGACACTGCTTATCAATAGTTTTTCTTTCTAGTCTTAGCTTTTCAGAGTACTAAAATCCTTTTATAAAATAATTAATTAAAAAAACCATAAGATTGGGCTCAGTAGGTAAAGTGCTTGTCACACAAGCTTGAAGAGGTGAATTCAGACATCCAGTATCAAATAAAGGGCTAGGTATAGCTTCACGGATCTGTAATCTCCAGCACAGGGGAATAGAAAAATCTTTAGCCAACCAGTTTGAAATATTGAGCTCCAAGCTCAGAGAACACAATACATACATACTCACATTTCCTCCCTTCTTACATATTTTAAATGGACACAAGTTCCTTAGTAAGATGGTACCTCAACCCACCTCTTACTCTGAGCTTATTACCATGGGATATTAAGTCCCAACCTTTTTGTGGCCTTCCCACACAGCCTATGTCTACAGAATATATGTTAAAGTAGTAGCCTTGGTTTGAGCTTTTGACTAGCTATATAATCTTGTGGAAGTCATATAACTTCTACAAGTCTCGTTTATCTTCTTTTGTAAGGATTAAATAACACCTTCTATTTTAAGGTTTGCCGCTAAAGAGCCCTCAGTAAATGCTGGCTTGATTTCCTTCTTCCTTTGAAATCCTATAGGATTTCCTATATAGAGCTTGTTTGGCATAACCACCAATTATCCTATACTGATGCCTGTTTCCTGAGACTCTTTAGTGACTATATCCTGGAGGTATGTGGCTGCATCTCTGTGTCCCTCATGAGAACCAGCACCTTGGTCTATGTATAATTAGAATTTTTGAAAATCCATTAAGTTCCAGGCACTATGCCAAGTATCAACCCTCACCTGGTGTCCCTTTTGTTTTTTTATAACACGAAAATGGTGAATGCTATATTGTTCTCATGTTAAAGATGAGGCAACACTCCCAAGATAAGTAACTGGGCTAAGGCAGAATTTTCGTGAATGTGCAAAGTTCATGATTATTCTCTTCTTAGCCCTTGGATTGTGCTACTCCCTCAAGAACTCCTCTTGTCAACTGGTATCATGGCACCTTTGTTAGTACCACTGTCTGGCTGTGTAGGCTGTGTGCTGCATAAAGGTGCAGCTAACGGGTGAGTGGAGGTGAAGCCCAGCCCACAGTACTTTGCTTGCTTTGTACCCATCTGGAGTTGTTAACTCCTCAAGGAATAGCTTTTTGAAAGTCTGTATATTGTTGCAACATGAACATTAATCCATCAAGGTGTAGCAGACCATCTCCTCACAGCTCTCAAATTTGTCATGTCTATCTAATCCAAAGTCCCCCACCCCACCTCACCCCACCCCCAGCCCTATTACTGAGGAAGTTGTAGAGACAGAAGGCTAAAAGAAAGAGAGGCTAGCTAGGTCTGATTTTAGGTAGTGTCTTAGGGTTTCTACTGCTATAATGAAACACCATGATCAAAAGGCAACTTAGGAAGGAAAATGGTTTATTTGGCTTAGGCTTCCATATCATTGTTTATCATCAAAGGAAGTCAGAACAGGAACTCAAACTGGGCAGGAACCTGGAGGCAAGAGCTGATGCAGAGGCCACGGAGGGGTGCTGCTTACTGACTTGCTAGGCCTGCTTTCTTATAGTACCCAGGACCACCAGCCAAAGGATGGCACCATCCACAATGGGCATGGCCCTTCTCCATCAATCACTAATTAAGACAATGTCCTACAGGCCTAGCTCCAAGCTGATCTTATGGAGGCATAAGATCTTTAATGGAGATTCCCTCGTATCAGATGACTTTAGCTTGTCAAGTTGACTTAGAACTACTGAGCACAGGTAGGACCATGTTTATTCATGACCATCTTGTCACCCATTTGTATAAATGTCAAAATGCTACATATGATGGGCTACAGACCCTGACATAGGTGGAAACTACTACGTCATAGTCCCTTAACTCTGAAGCTGCTTGGTCTGCCCACAAGGGAAACTAGGAAGTGTGAACTTTTAGCTATCATCCCTAACTCTAAGAGGATATAAAAATGTAGGGCAGGGTCATTATAGCTGTTTTTTTTGCTGAGGAGGGTCTTTGTCAGAGAAAGTACTGGGTCCATTGAAGAGGGAGTCTTCAGGTCACATAGCAGGAGGAGAGTCTTAACTTTATTGTCATGCAATTGCTGTCTGCATTCTTGAAGAGACTTGGAAAATAATTATTGTTAAAAGTAAAACCACGTGATTTTTCTAGGAAAGTTGAGGTACAGGAAGAAACAGTGGATTGGAGAAGAAGTGGGCATAGAATTGATTTAGGGTGACAATGACTAGTCCCATTGCCAGGACTGCTGTACAGAAATGAGCTAGTCGTATCAGGGAGCTACAAAGCATCAAAGGAAGGGACAGAAGAAATAAAGGAGTAATGTAAAGAATTGTATCCAGCCTGAGGTGAAAGGGATGAAGGTCTCCTTTAGCCAGTTTCTTCACAGCATCTAAAAGGTCTACTACAGATGTATCAGGAACAAATGTAGCTGTCGTAGGTTAAGAATTATTAGGAGAGCTTATGTGGAACATTTCATTTGAATATAGGATGAAGTTCAGTAAGTAAAATATTTAAAAGACAGGATAAAAACCTAAGAGGATAAAAGGAGGAAAGAAGTGATCCAAGGAAGAAAGCTTCCAAAAACTCAAAAATGTTTGTCTTCCTCTAATCTAGATGCTGGAAACAATCTACAAAAAAAAACCAGAGAGCAAATACTAAATTTCTAGGTCTCCTGATCTCTGTGACTATTCAACTCTGCCTTTGTAATACCAAATTGGCCACAGACAACATGTAAAAGAAATGTCTAAGACTGTGTTCCAAAATAAACTTTATTTTTTGGCAGTGGTATAACAAATTTTAATTCACCATAAACACTCTAAAAATAGATTTAAAAAACAGTAACAAAAAAGTCTAACAAACTCTCAGAATTGACTAGTGTGTACCAATAGTCAGCAGATTCACAAGTGCCTAAATGCATGTTACAAATATTACAAGCAAATGCTACAGTTAAAAAAAATCCACATAGAAACACTGTAATAATTTCCTGGAGTCCCACACCCTGGGTACTTCACCTGAAAGAAGACAAGCTCCTCCTTTGCACATCAAAGGGCAATGATTCCATGGAACATTCAAAAGCAAATAGGTCGATCTCCTGACAGAGGAACTACCCTTAGGAAAGTGGGCTCCCCTTAAACCATGCTAATGAAATAGATGTAACTATTTTTTAATACTAGGAACCTAACACAGGATAGTTGAGTCAACTATTAATAAACAGGTACTACTCTCTCCCCATGGCAGTTTCTTATTCCAAGATAGGGCAGTAAAAGAAAACCATAATGAGTTTGAAGAGAAGAGTGTTTTAAAAGGAAAAAAAAAAGAGGACAGATTTGTAAGAAATATAAAATAAGGGTTTTTTTCTAGCAAATACTATAAAACTTGTGTTTAGGTTAAACCCCCCCCCCCCACTTCAAGTAAAACTTTTTTTACTCAAAGGTCCTATTTCTATTCTAAGAATTTAATTGCCTGAAGCAATGATCCTTTCCTTCCCGGAGCAGAAACTCCTCTCCCCTTCCTCCATTTTCTTATGCACCACTTTTCAGACTAGCAGAGGTTCAAACCCCAGCCAATAGGGAAAAGATACAATTACCACCTTCCTCAGAATAAAAACCAAGTATACTTCCTCTCTGTGTTCCTTCTTCCTGAGCACTCTCTCTTGCTCAACAGTAGATTTGGGTTTGTTGGTTTGTTTTGCCAGAGGTGTGGGATAGGGATGGGTAAGCAATAATTCCAGACCTAAGCTGGCTGGTCTACAATACTATGCACTATGCTGGTGCTTTATACTGAGCGGAAAAACAGAGGGTTTGACATCCACAGAACAGTAATACAACAACACAGATTCCTTAGTAATGCCTTAACTATTCATCTGGATACCTGGGCCAGAGGAAATCCAATCTTCCCAACTGTAACACATCTACTAAGTTACTCCAACCATGAAGACAACCTTCCTGGTCTAACCCTTTCA